AAAATAATTATTTATATAAATAGTACCCTTCTCTCACACCTTGTAGTAATTTATTCCTGTCATTTGTCGTTAGGATTGTGATGACCTTATAGATTAGAGAATGAGTTCAGAAACCCTTTATTTCTAAGCATTGACTATATAGTTTTGCTAAGATTGCCAGAAGCAGGAAATAAAGGAGAGAATGGCTAAAGATGAGTGCTAATCAGTCGAAGTGGGAATTTATTCCTAGTATGTCAGAATGGGCAGTGAGAGCAAAGGTTTGAAAACTTTGAGTACAGTTTTCCAGCAGCAAGTCTGAGGGGAATAAAGGTGGGGAAATCTGGAAAGATAGTATAGCAAGACAAAGGAAACAGAATAAGTATGTTTTTGACAAAAGAAAAATAGGAGACAGAAATAGAAAAGAAATAAAAGTTGAGACTCCTCAGAAAAACAAAGAAGCATGGGGAGTTTAAATATAATGAATACAATAATGTTCATTGTTGGAGGTTTTATAATTACTCTGTGCAGGGTGGTAGAATTATAATTTCATGTTAAAAAAGATAAGCTTGGTAGTTGTGATGGAACTAAAATATTGCTTAATCAGAATGAGAAAAGTTCATTTTTCACTAGTAAGTTAGTATAGATTGAAATCAGAAAAAAAATTCAACTACTTTCCATACTTCGCCAAATATATATTTAAATTATTGTTGCTACTTGTATAGATACCTGTATTTTTAGTTCTATCAGCAGTCTCTTTTACAGTGAAAAGCAAGAAATTTGATACTTATATTTTATGTTTGTTTTTTCTTTGGTGATTTTTTTAGTATAAAAATATCTTAGGTCCTGACCTACCATGTGAACTAAATTAATAAAATTAATGTCAGGAAAAAATGTGTTAAGATTTAGTTATTTAGGCTATGTGCTCACAAATGTATTCTTTATGTGCATTTTCTTTATATAAAAATGCAACCATGGATGGATAGGTATTTGATAAAGCAAATATAATAAAATGTGAATTATAGAATCTGGGTGGTAGGTAGAATCTGTGAGTTTGAACATTTTCATGATAAATGTTGGAAATAAACATAACCTCTAATGAAAAAGCTAATTGCAAAATAAACAGATATTGTATAAGTAGTAAAATAATAATTTACTTTTTTTTGTTCTCCATTGACTTAGAAAAATCTAAAGTGTTTTTGTTAGTGAAATACCAGTTTTAGAGGTAATACTATTTGATATAAATAAAGTATCTGTTTACTTGTGATGAAAATTGTATTGTCCTTAAAACAGCATTATTATGAACATTAGTAAAGAAAGAAAAATTATAAGGGTTTATAAAACATTTTTGAGGTAAACATAAATTAGAGCAGACAAGGGTTTAGCAACTATTTAGAACTTTTATTCTTCTATTTTAGGGAATCTGGAAACATCAAAGCTGGATTAGAACATCTGGTAAGTTCTAATTTTCTCTTGAACATTTGCATCGTCTTTGATATCTGCATTCTAAATGAACACTTTTGAATGAGCTTTGAATACCTTGTATTGAGAAAGTCAACCATTTCCCAAAGGGTCAGCTTTCTGTTATTATGTGAAGGCACTCACATTTTCATTTATCTTATCATTTCAAGGGAATTTAAAATTTTTTTTAAATTACTTTTTTTTTGATGTAGAGATGAAATAAAATGGATGACAATCTTTGGATTGATGATTGCTTTAATTATAAACAAAATTGTTTGGTGTAGAATTTTTGGCATATCTTGATCTAACAAAAACAAGCTTGTGTTTTAAGAAAAACACAATCAAATATTGCATGCATAAATATGGTATGTTTTAGCAATTTAACAGCTTTGAAAGAAGTGCACAGCTTTGTTTTTCCTGATGTCTTTGCTTTATGAATAATGCATTGGTTTTCACACTGAACAGGATTGAATAATTATAGTAACAAACGGTTATATTTATATAGTGCTTTATCAACGTACAAAGAATTTGTAAGCAAGTGTTTTAAATTAAATAAAAAGCTTCTAAAAAGGGTGGAACAAGTAGGATCACTAATTTATAAATGAGGAAACCAAGATACGGATTTATTGAGTAAGTTGTTCAGTATCTTCCCTAGAACGTGACTCCGCTGAGACTGAAATCCAGGTACCCGGTTTGGCCGTCACTGTTGTGTAGATAGTTGAGCCAGATCCACCACTCACTAGTCAGAGGCCTGGGGTAAACCATTTCACACCTCTGTGCTTCAGAGTCCTCAATCTGTACAGTCAGGATAATAATAGTGCTTCCCTATAAGCATTAAATGAGTAACACTTACAAAAGCATTTGGAGCACAGTAAGCTCTGCATAAGTATTTGCTGTTGTCATGCCCACCTAGTACTCTTCACTATATCATAGTACCTCATGACCAAGGCAATTATTTTTCCAGTATTTTGTAGGTTCAAGAAATAGGTAAGCTTGGATTTGAATATTATCCTTAATACTTATTATCATGAAAATATGGGCAATG